AAAACGGAGCTGTCAAAAACATCGCTAAGCGAAACAGGGGACCTAAACTGTCATCGCTAAGCGAAGCAAGGTCCCGAACATCTCTATGCGAGGCGCCACTGTACAATAATGATTGGAAACAATCCAGATGGAGCAATTGTGGAACAAAATATAGCACCTAAGAGTGCAGGAGGAGCCTAGTGTAAACATGGCAACATATATCATAACTGTGTGTGTTTCTGGAATGGGCAATTTCAGTAACACATTTACAGATACAAGAAGTGCCATGCTCAGTTTTTTTTTTTTCATTTAATTAGAAAATTGTCCTGGTAGAATTTGTAAGTTTGTTTAAGATCTTAGAAATCATCATATAGATTGTGCTTAAGTTACTAAACATCTGGTCCCTAGTACATTATAACTAAAAGGTAGAGACAAAACTGTTAGCGGCTTTAAAGAACAGGAAATAGATATTACACAAAATTCCTGGTCTGTCGTGAGCCACTTAAAATCCAAGTTACATATTGTGTTACTTTAAAAGAAAAATGCCTGAGATCCCCCCCCCAAAAAAAAACTTCACATAAGCCTAAATCTGTGCCGATGCTTGCCTAGTCCTTTTCAATGATCAGAGAATATTTTTGAAATTCTGGAATTACCAAAGAGAACTGAAAATCTAAAATACTTTTGCAGAGCGGGCAGCTAAGGTTGCTGAGCAGCAGGAGAGAGAACGAGCAGCACAGCAACAGCAGCAGAATTCCTCCCCCCGGGCAGGCACTCCTGTCGGGGCTCTTATGGGGGTGGTGCCGCCACCAACACCAATGGGAATGCTCAACCCGCAGTTGACACCTGTTGCAGGTAAAAAAAACAAACAGGAGCTTTGACCATTTTTTTTCCTTCATCCACTTTACCACACTCTTTCATTAACTCTGAATATTTTATTCTTAGTGAAGAAGAAAAAAAATAACCAGTCAATCAAACATATTTTCTTAAACCTTAAGAGCAAAACATCCTGATCTTAAGCCCAGGTTTTGCCTTCACTGGTAGAGATAACATCCCTTAATCATAAGCATGAAATCATATGCTGGTCAAGCCTTGTGACCAGCTCCTTTCCTAGATGGCAAACTTGCTCCCAATTTGTATTACGGCCTTGTATGTTAATTCTATTTATCCTTCCTTTGGGTGCTGCAGAATTAGCATGCTTTCCAAAGAGTGAATGATCATGACCATGGACTTGATAAAATGGGCTCCAGTTCACAGAAACATATGCCACAATGAAGTTTGTCTCTAAGGTGCTCCAAAATACTTCGTTCATTTTTCATGTGGCATAATTGAATTGTTGAACTTCTGTGATTAATGTGTCATACTGGTGACATTTAAGATTGTAAGAAATTATAATATCTCCAGTAGATGGTGAATTGGGAGAATTAAAGATCAGTTAATTTTATTTATAACTTGAACCAATTAGATAGGTGAAAAATCTTGCTACTAACTCCTCTAACTCAAGGAGACGTCATACATGTGCTAGTTGAACAGCAACACCCCCTGTGTATCATATTTCAAACCACTTCCATAACTACGTAGCCATTACAAATGGATTTACATTTGTAGTATTCGAAATGTAGCATTTGAAAGGTTTAGATGGAATGCTGGAATGTGGTTCAATATTACATGCATGGTGTGGTCCACATTTCTGGCATGTCTGGAAGGGAAATTCAAAGCTTTCTCTTACATTTTCAGTTAACATTTTCTTATAATTCTGTCTCTACCCTGAAACTAAGATTAACCATATTTAAGATACTAATGAAATAAACCAACATTGATAGAATTATTTACAATGGTTTGTTGCACTAGAATACAATTGAAACAAACCATGGTTTTGCTCCAATTTGGATGAAACAATAAATCATGATTAGAAATAGAAGTTTCTGATCTCTTTGCAGATATGCAAGAGGGGAGAATTCAGGAGCCTGAGATTTATTTATGTAACACAAAACCAGTTTTAGTGCTGTGTCCAAATAAGGCCAGTATGTAATATAACCTCCCAGTTTGTTGTTTAGTCACTCATATCAGAGTACTTTTAGATGTTCAAGTCTTTACTATGTTTTGTGTCCTAGCCAATGTAAATGGAAACTTCTCTGAATCCATTTTTTGTAAGAAAATCACACTTCTAGGACTCTATAATCAAACCATATAGCCAGTTTTTTGTGTATTTGCCCAGTGTAAAAACACTCTCTTAGCCTGTCGGTCTTATTGTCTGAATAAGTCGTTTGAAAATCAAGTAAACTGTGACCCAAATAAATGTTTTCTGTGAACTTATGTTACTACATTTTATCTTGTTTTGTTTTGTTTGTATGATTTGTAGTCTGTTTTTCTCCCGGTGACAATAGAAAGCTATTTTAATTTCTGTGTAGGTTCTGGAATAATTATTAATTATTTTTTTCATAATCTGTTTTGCATTTGTTCATGTGAAATTGATTTCTCAGTTAGTGTCTCCATCTCTTAAAACTGATCTTGTATATTCAAGTGTCTCAGTACATATTGCTTTTTTACTTTTCATACTTGCATCGTTCAAATATTCTCTTGGAAAAGTTGTTTAAAGAATATCTCATTAGAACATATGTTTCAGAAAATGTTTTTCTTATGTTTAATGCTTTTTTCCTGCTTTTCTAATTGATTTATTGAGGTTAACGGTAAGGTTTTAATGGTAAATTTTTTCTAGATGCAGTCTGAAAACCACACTGAATACAATAACTCTCTTGTCGGAAAGAGATCATTAACTGATAAAAATGTTTCCCTAAATATATATTTTCTGATCGTGTTTTTTTACAGCAGGGGTGGGAATCATGCACCTTGAGGTCTGCATGATGCCCCTATGACTTTTTTTGTGATGTAGCCCCCAAATTCACAGAAAAGGGAAGAAAAATCATGACCTGGGTGCATGATTTAAAACACACTGCAGCCTGTTTTAGTATCAAAATTTATTTATAGAAACTAAAATTTACCTTCATGTCACTTTTGATTTCACTGTAAGGAACCTGGTGCTGCTGGTGGTGAATCCAGGGGTGTAGAATCTGGCTCCCAGATCATTTCTGGTTCTCCATCCTTAAATTTTTTTAGTAACATTGTCGTTCTCTTTGTGGTTTGTCCCAATCTTTTAGGAAGTGGAAGTCTAGGACCATGGGGTCCTTTGTTTGGAGATGTCCAAGTACATCTATATATTTTGAAATCATTTAAAAGTAAAAGTCAGCAGTTCATATAATCCTCCAGGACTAACCACAGTATGTCTGAAGTGTCCAAAACAAAGGTTGTACAGTAATTTTAAAAAATTTGTTTGCATTTGGTTTGGAGTTCTGAGAGGAATTCTTTTAGAATAGAACATATTCTCAGGTGTTTGTGTCTGCCTCCTCCCTGTACAGGTACACATACACACATCTGCTTCTTTGTGATAGAATTCTTTGTTAAATTTATTTCATTTAGCTATCCATGTTCCTAAGTTGTTTTGTCAGCTGGAGCTATACAGTATATTGGCTGGGACATCCTCAGGCAAACTCTGCTGGCTACAAACTCAAAGCTGGGGAAAGCTACTCTCTTTCTCTCTTCATTGTAAGTCCACAGCCCCATTAATGCATCCTGGATAATAATACCTTACAGAGTTTCTCTCTCATGTTCTGGACACCACACTTCAAGAAGGATGCCAACAAACTGGACCTAGTTCAGAGGAGGGTGACAAGGATGATTTTTTTTGGGGGGGGGGAGGAGGGCTGGAAGCCAAGCCTTCTGAGGAAAGGCTGAAAGAATGGGGCCTGTTGGGCCTTGAGAAAAGAAGACGGGGGAGTGATAGGATAGCACTTTTCAGATACTGGAAAGGCTGTCTTACAGAGGAGGGGGCAGGATCTGTTCTCAATCATCCCAGAGTGCAGGACACACAACCGTGGGCTCAAGTTACAGGAAGTTAGATTTCAGTTGAATATCGGGAAAAACATCCCAGCTGTTAGAGCAGTGCAGCAATGGAACCAGTTACCTCAAGAAGTGGCAAATGCTCCAACACGGGAGGCATTCAAGACAAATTTAAACCACCTGGCAGATATCCTTTAACTTGGGATTCCTGCATTGAGCAGGGGGTTGGACTGGATGTCCTTATGGACTCCTTCAAATTCCATTGTTCTATGATTCTGCAATTGCTTATATATGCTTTAAATATTGAAATGTATCCTTTAAGTACAGTATTGAAATGTGCAACACAGATATTAAGTATAGCAGTCAGTGTTTCTTCAGCATGAATATATAACAATATTTTTTCCAAATAAGTTACTTTTAAACAATCAGGTTATTGGTTTTGCTTTCTGTTTCTGCTTTAAGAGTTGCATTTTGAATTTCAGTTTGTTGGGGCTGTAGAGAATCTAAGAAATGTTGCATTTTATAGCAGCTTCATTTGTGAGGATTCTACCTTTTCAGCGGTATTTAGTTCTTGTAAATATTAATTTCCAGGGGTTCTGTGTTAAGTTTTGCAGTAGAAGCAAGAGACTGTCTCATAACTCCTTCAAACCTAACAAGTTTTATTTGTGATAAGTTTTGGTAGCATTTGCCCAGTTCTTCAGATGCAAGTTGTACCAAATATAACTTGTTATTCCTTAAGGTTCCACAAAGCTCTCATTCAGTAACATCAGCATTCTTCTAGAATTTTTGAGAAGAAATATTTATTTTTTATAATTTAAATATAGCCCAGATGTCTGCTTTTACTCTGGTTTCTCTGCATCACTGCAGGGAGAATACCTTCTTCCCCTCTTGTCTAGAACAATGGTCCCCAACCTTGGGCCTCCAGATGTTCTTGGACTTCAGCTCCCAGAAATCCTGGCCAGCAGAGGTGGTGCTGAAGGCTTCTGGGAGTTGTAGTCCAAGAACATCTGGAAGCCCAAGGTTGAGGACCACTGGTCTAGAGCACTGGTTCTTAACCTTGGGTTACTGAGGAGTTTTGGACTCCCAGAAGCCTTCACCACCAACTGTGCTGGCTGGGGTTTCTAGGAGTTGCAGTTCAGAAACATCCGAGTAACAAAGGTTAAGAATCACTGGTCTAGAGGAGTACTTCTGTGCTAAGCATCAAAGCAGCAGTGTTCACAAACCTCTGTTTCTTGCTTTATAAGCTTCTGTGTCTTCATCCTATTGCAGCTGGGTACAGAACCAGTTTAACTAAGTTTATTTTAACTATTCTCAACATGGGGTTACATACGCAGCTTAAAAGAATATGACAGACTACAGAGCTATGGTTTTAAGTCATTATCAAGTGTGAAATACCACATTGATTTACACAATTTGCAGCTTATGTCAACTATGCTATTTGCAGCCTATTGTTTTACTAATGAAACTTTGTCCATTATATGTCTGCCCACCTGGTCATGGGGCCATGTATTACCTAAAATTATGGCCATCATATAGTCTCACTTCTTTCTCTGAGGAAATGGACTTAATCCATGAAAGCTCACATTAAAAATATAGCATAATCTCATGGAAGCAGGAAAAGACTTTGTTGAGGCAATAAGGACTATTTATAGACAACAGAAAGTAAAGATCAGAATAAATGGAAAACTTACACAGGATGTAAAGATACAAAAAGGAACAAGACACAGATGCCCATTGTCTTTTACTGTTTGTACTATTTATTGAAACATTATTACAACAAATTAGACTAGAACACAGATATAAATGGACTCAAAATAAGAGGGGAAGAATATAAAATACAGGCGTTTGTGGATGACATGGTTTTTATTCTAGAGGATCCGATATATTCAGTGATGGAAACAATAAAAATTTTTGGAGAAGTAAAAGTAAAGAAACAAAAAACACAAGTTTTGACCAAAAATATGAAGTAGAAATGACATGTTTTAAAGCGGGGGAAAAGTTAGATATCTAGGAATTCAGATTAAAAAAACCAAACAAACCCAAGTACTGTACTTTGATAAAAGACAATTACATCAAACTAATTGGTATGATTGATAAATATCTGGAAAAATTGTCAAAATTTCGATTACAGTATCATTCATGGGGGAGGATTGCAGCTCTGAAGATGAATTTATTACCTAAAATTATATTTCTTTTTCAGACAATACCAGTCCTTACAAAACAATACTTCAAGAATTTATCAAAAAATGATGTTTGTATGGCAAGGGAAAAAATGTAGAATAAAAATCAAAGCACTTCAAGATGCAAAACAAAGAGCAGGCTTTGGACTTCCAGATTGGTTTTCATATTATAAAGTCTGTGCTGTAGTTTGGATAAAGGAATTGATAGTTTTAGAAAATGACAGAATACTAAAACTAGAAGGACATGATTTAAACCTAGGATGGTATCAAAAAGCAAAGGACAATAAACAGTTTAAGAATAATCTGATAAAGAAAGCATTGAACTGGCTATGGATTAAGATCCGGGAAGAAAATTACTAAAAAGTTCCTGAATGGGTCTCACCAACGGAAGCATTCACACAACCAACATTAATGGGGGGGAAGGAACTCTTGAGGTATAAAGATTTGTTAAAAAGAGACCTAAGTATGAAATCAAGGAAAGAATTAGAAGAACAAGATATAATACTTTATTGGTGGACAAAAACACAGATAAATTCAAGATATACAAGAGACAAAACAATAGGCTTTTGTAAGGAACATACACCATTAGATAAGGTACTTTTGAATGCAAAGGAAAAACTAATCAAAATGTATAATTATCTACTAGAATTAAAAATGCATGATGAAATAGTTAAAGAATGTATGATAAAATGGGCTTAAAATGTGGGCCACAATAAAAGTTATGGACACAAATATGGGAAGACAATATTAAGTTAACAAAAGCAATTAAAGAAAAAATATATAAGATCTTCTATAGATGGTATATGACACCTGAAAAATTATCGAAAATATATCAAATGTTGGAAATGTAAAGTAAAAGAAGGTAGTTTTTATCATATGTGGCAGACTTGTAGGGAAATTAAGAGCTTTTGGAAACTAATCCATGAGTTTTTACGAAAAAAGTTAATCACTATAATCCCATATGAACCTGAACTGTTTTTGTTGAATATAATACCAGATTTGATAGAAGAAGGGAAAAAAAAGGTATTTGATCATACATGTAACTAGAGCAGCAAGAATGTTATATGCCAAATACTGGAAAAAAGAGGAGACTCCTAATCTAGGAGTTAATAGAAAATTTTTTTCGAAGCACCAGAGATGGATATTTTAACTGAAGCATTAAAAGATAAAGAAATAGTTTAAAGGCTTAGAAAAAAATGGCAAGAATACCACATACACACATATATATCAGTTAATCTTTAAGATTCCACAACGTTTTTGTCTCGGGTTTTTTTCTCCCCTTTTTAGTTTAGTTTTATTTCTTGTCTCATACACTTGCACAGACTTACAGGGCTACTACTTCAAAAGCTGCAAGTATGTAGAAATAATTGCCTGAAGTACAGTCATCTGTGATCGGCTACTACTTCAAAAGCTGCAAGTATGTACAAATAATTGCCTGAAGTAATCTGTGATTGTTATGCAGGCAGTCACATGATAGTATAATTGTCAATTTATTTATTTAAAGAATTAAATATTTGATGTGGAGTTGTCAGAGTAGTGGTCAAAGACGCTGCTTGCTTCTCTTAGGAGCTTGCCTTCAGTTCCAGTTATTCCATTCAGACCTCTTCTCCCACCATCTTGCATTATGCCAGGCATAGATCCTCGTAATTTTCTCAGAAATCTTGTTCAGCTGTCCCCATATTCATCTTTTTCCCATCATACCTCCTATCAGTTCCCTCAAGACACGTGAATCATTCTCTTCTCCCACCAACCACTTTATTGACATTGAACATACTTTAATATCTTTATGAACTCACATTGATATCTATTCTCTCTCAGTCCCCAAACCCCCATATATCCTAATACCAGCCATTACATTTTCATTCTGTGTCTATTACCCCCTTTCTCCATGCCAATCCTCATTTTCAGTGTATTCCCCTCAGAAACTCTTCCATTAATTATTTTCTTCTCAAGACACTGGCAAATCTGCCCCCATTTTCTTTTCCTCAAGAAAAAAAATAACCATGTTGCCTTTCCCCAACTAGAATATATGATTCCTTACATTATTGTAGCACATGAAACTTAACTAGCATTAAAGACAGTGAATAGTACTGTGCAAAACAACTTTTCTTTTTCATTGTTTATTGACAGCATAATAAGTTACAATTTCTGGTATTGTTTAAAAGCTGTGTGAGATCAGGATAATTGGGCGATTCATTTTTATTGCTAAGAACGTCTGCCCTCAGGCATGAAGAATAAAATCTCAATTTAACAGCTATATTTCTTTTAATAGTATGGCCTTGCGGAAGGTGAGAGAGATGTGAGACAGAACAGTCCAGTCTACACAGCGCTGTGGAGCTAATTTCACTTGTTTATAAATGTGTGCTTTAAGTGTAATTGAAATAGCTAAACAGACTGAAAGCTCGGTGTTTATGTTTTTAAAAATATTTTCTCTTAGGCTATGGTACTATCCTATAAACTTTGTATATGCACGGAACAATGCTGTTATATGACTGAAAGAACATTTTCAGTACATTTGTTACATTTCCATTTGCTTGCAGAAATAACCATATAATGATGCAAAATACTCAGTTTATTTCCTTCTAAATGTATGTCAATAGTCTAAATACTAATCTGTTCAAAATACTGTATCTGGTTCTATAACATTGTTCATTTTTGCAAGTACTAATTATAGTATTTTGTGGCAATACTTAAATATGCTTATGTGTTGGTAGTGCATGTCATTATTATCATTTTGATCATTTTGCATGTCATTGATGCATGTTTTGAAATTTGTTGTGTCCCTCAAGGCATGATAGGTGGCTATCCACCAGTGCTGCCACCTTTACAGGGCCCAGTTGATGGCATTGTTAGCATGGGTAGCATGCCACCACTTCACCCTGGGGTGCCTCCACCCCATCAGCTTCCACCAGGCATACCAGCCATCCCGCCACCGGGTAAGAATGATCTCATTCATTCATTATCTTGCCTTTCTGTTCCTCATCCCATTTAACTGACAATTATGGGAAGGTTTTTGCCTTTTATGCCTTTGTTGCTTAACTGTTTGACTCCTTCTAATTGTCCTTGGTTATGTCTGTCTGTGTTAGTGCACAAAGCATATTTACTGAAAATATTGGTGTATGATAAGTGCTGGTAAAAACAGCTCATGTGGTTAATCCAACAGCAAGGAATTTGACCAAAACACAAGACCACTGTTTGTTTGTTTTTTTTTCAATGGGCTTCACTTTATGTGGGATATTGAAGGTCTTGCTTTCTAGTCTTTCTCAGAGTTTAAAAAAAAGTTATGCTCTTCATATAAATTGAACTTGACATAAAAGCTACTTATTCCTGCAGCTAGGTGTGAATCTTCAGAAGAGAGCACTTTTCATTTCAGACTTCTTTGTTAGCTCAGACATACATCCTGATTACAAATTACTTTGTATGATAACAAATCATCATAAAAGATGTTTCTTTTAATACATTTCATAACATAAGCTATGCTCTTTACAACTGTTTTTCTGGTCAGATAAAATACTCCTTTCTTCAAGGAGACTAATATAGTGTGTTCTTTATTTTAAGCTTTATTTTTATGTACTTCACAGGAGGACTTTCCAAAAATCCTACAGAAAGTTAATTGTATGAGAGGTCACTTTTTTAAAAATACCCTATTCAGTTATTTATGTATGTCTTTATCTTAACTTCTGTACAGGAGTCACAAAATTGAACATTTGCACTGGGATGTAAACAATAACTTTGTGGTAGAGATATTTGGCATAAGGGACATTTATAGCATGTCCATGGTCCTGAATTTGAACAGCCATGAACTTAGCTTTGTCAGGTTTTTCTATTTGAAAGGGATTCCCTTTTTCCTTCTGATCAAGAAATATACTTCAGTAAGCTGATTGCATGCTTAACATTAAAAGGGAGGCCTTCAGATAGAATCGCTATTGACAGCATTTACATTACTGCTGGGGAGTGTGATAGAAGTGAAGAAATGGATACCAGTGTGCTCAGCGACAATGGCTGCTGTTACACAACTCCCATTGCTTTTAACAGGGTGGTGTGGAATACTGACACAAGTTTCATTGTACTTCTGCTGTGTAGTTCACCAACTGTAGAAGAAATGTTGGTTATCCTGGCTTAAGATAACATTAGCTATGAATGTCAACATATTGTTAACCAAACAACATTCTGCATCTTTAATACTACTACATATATGAGAAATCATGGTTTCAGATTGCACCTGAATTATTTCTCTTTGATGTTGTCACCAAATGGCTTCTTAATTACCCACCTGAAATAAGACTCCCATGTTATTTATATTTTGAAATGCAGGTGTTATGGGTCAAAATGTTTCCTCCATGGTAGGAGCCCAAGCCCCAGGAAGTCCATTTGGACAGCAGGTAAGTGGTTTCGATGGGCATAGGAAAGTTTATAAATCATATTCTGTGATTATTCTTTTTAAAAGAATTGTCCTCCAGTGTCTAGTATTATTGTTTTGACTTCCATACCAACCCATAGTGCTAGAGTACTCTCTGGGCAGTTTACTATGTTACTTATTTTACCGACCTCAGAAGACTGAGTCAACCTTCAGTCAGCTACCTGAATCCATTGGGATTGAACTCTGTGAACAAAGGCTTGACTCTGCAGAACTGCAGTTTAACCACTGGGCCATGTGGTTAGAGGCAAAAAGGCAAATTCCCCTGACTGAATTCCTCTCCCTGGTTTGTACTGCTAAGAGCATTAATCTGTTCTTCTGCCTTTGCATGTTTCTATTAAACACAGAGGTAGGCTTTTTCTATGTGGTGTAAATGTTTTGTGATACTCTAACAGAGCTCCCTTCATGGATTGCTACCTTGTCGTGGCGAAGGGACTTGAGTAACTCAGAGAAGCTATAGGCTATGTCGTGCAGGGCCACCCAAGACGGACAGGTCATAGTGGAGCAATCCACCTGGAGTAGGAACTGGCAATGCCACTCCAGTATCTTTGCCAAGAACGCCCCATGATCAGAAACAAAAGGCTAAAAGATATGATG